TCAGAACACTCATAAGCTTTACAGGGCAGGGGCACTTGGGGCAGGGGACACAGTTGGTTAAGCAGCCAACCCTTGATTTCAGCTCAGGTTGGGATCTCAGGGTCCTGGGATCGAGCCCCATATTGGGCTCCATGCTCAGTGCAGAATAGGCTTGGGATTCTCTCCTGTTGCCCCTCCTGCCTCAAATAAATAAATGAATTTTTAAAAAGAAGAACTTTATAGAGCAAAAGCCAAAGTATACTTCCCTGTGAGATGATTACACACTTGGCAAAAGGAAGAGAAGGAGGAAGAGAGGGAGGGAAATAATCAGGAGATTGACAGCTAAAGGGTCTGTTTGAGGTGATGGAAATATACTAAAATGGATTTTAGTTATGATTGCAAAATCCTGTAAATATACTAAAAGCCCACTGAATTGAACACTTTCATTTTTTTTAGGACTTGAGAGAGAGTGCATGAGCAGAGGGAGAAGGAGGGATAGGGAGAGGGAGAAGCAGACCACCCCCCAATCAGGGAGCCCAATATGGGGCTTGATCCAGGTCCCTGCACGGGATCATGACCTGAGCTGAAGGCAGATGCTTAATTGACTGAGCCACCCAGGTGTCCCAAATTGCACACCTTAAATGCATGAATTATATAGTATGTGAATTATATATCTTGATAAAGCAACTTTCAAAAAAAAATACTCCAAAAGCTTCTCTTTGCTCCTAGAATAAAGTGGTCACCATGCCCTTGAAGACTCCATATAATGCAGTCCCTTCCAACTGCTCTTTTCTGCAGTGCCGTCCACACTCTAGTCACATAGGCCACCCTCCAAGCCCCCAGAGCCAGCCCCATTCTTTTCTCCCTAGGGCTCTTACACCTGATCTCTTGGCCTTGACAGCTCTTTTCCCCTTCTTACAGGTCACCTCTTATCAGGGAGGCCTTTACCACCTCATCTAAACTAGCCACCATATACCACCTCCTTGGACCCTCCCTATCCCACCATCTGGTTATAACTGTTCCAGAGTACTCCGTGAGATCTGAAATTATCTCATGTGCTGTGTCCCATCAAAGACAATAACATCATGAGGACAGACCTAGTCCACACAGTATGCCCAGCACTTACAGGGGTGCCTGGCGGCAAGCACGCACTCCATAAACACTGCTGAATTGACCAATGAAGGTCATTTACAATACCCTGACGTAGGAGGTTCGGGGACAGTTTAAACAAGAAATGTACAATACACAAAGGAGGACATTCTCTACCTGAAAACAGAACTGAGCCAAGAAGAGATGAACAGGTTTGTTTGAACTTCAGTAGCATGAAACGTAAGGTAAGGTAAGGTAAGGTAAGGTAAGGTAAGGTAAGGTAAGGTAAGGTAAGGTAAGGTAAGGTAAGGTGGAAGGAAGGAAGGAAGGAAGGAAGGAAGGAAGGAAGGAAGGAAGGAAGGAAGGAAGGAAGGAAGGAAGGAAGGAAGGAAGGAAGGAAGGAAGGAAGGAAGGAAAGAAAGAAAGAAAGAAAGAAAGAAAGAAAGAAAGAAAGAAAGAAAGAAAGAAAGAAAGAAAGGAAGAAAAGGACAGCAGAGTGATGAGGTTTTAGAGGATGTCATTCAAGCAAAGATATCACATGCTGGTGCTTCAATGGGTCCCAGACCCACTGACTGATGGATGCTGATGAAGGTCAGATGAGCAGGTGTACAACTGAAAAAGGAATGTAAATATTACAACGCCCCCCTAATCAGGAAAGTAATAAATTTCCTAACTGGGGGTCTTTATACTTTGTTTTCTTTTGTTTTTTTGGGGGGGTCATGTTTATTTGGGGGGAGATGTTAAGTGATTTCATTAAAACTGTCATTCCTAATAAACTAAGCGTATTTATTTTCTGGGGAATGCAAAAGGCCACCTGCATGTATAGGCCCCTAAGCTCTTGCCTCAAGGCATTGTAAAAAGAAACTTCTAAAGAGATCAGTAGTTTTAGGTGTATCATCTATTTTGAGTTAATTTTTTTAAAAATTTATTTATTTATGATAGTCACAGAGAGAGAGAGAGGCAGAGACACAGGCAGAGGGAGAAGCAGGCTCCATGCACCGGGAGCCTGATATGGGATTCGATCCCGGGTCTCCAGGATCACACCCTGGGCCAAAGGCAGGCGCCAAACCACTGCGCCACCCAGGGATCCCTTGAGTTAATTTTTGTATAATGTGTGAGGCAGGAATCGAACTTCACTCTTTTGCTCCTGGATATCCAGTTGTCCCAGTCCTATTTATTAAAGAGATCATTCTTTCCCCATTGGGCAGTCTTGGCACCTTTGTCAAAAGTCACCTGGCCACAGATATATAATGGTTTATTTCTAGAATTTCAATTCTATTTCATTGAACTCTATGTCTATGCTAGTGCCACGCTATCTTGATTACTGCAGGTCTGTAGTAAGTTCTGAATTAGAAAGTAGGAATCCTCCAACTTTTTCTTTTTTCATGATTGTTTTGGCAAATTTTGTTGTTGTTGAGAGAGAGAGCTCAAGCACGGAGTAGGGGTGGGGGTTGTAGAGAGGAGACAGAGAATCTTCAGCAGGCTCCGTGCTGAGCAGAGCCGGATCCCATGACCGTGAGATCATGACCTGAACTGAAATCGAGTCAGAATTTCACTGACTCGAAGAAACTGACTGAGCCACTCAGGTGCCCCAAGGCTGTTTTGGCAATTTGGGGTCCCTTGAATTCTATATGAATTTTAGGATCAGCTCGTCTGTTTCTGTAAAACTTCTAGCTGGGATTTTGACAGGCATTGCTTTCAGTCTGCTGGTCAATTTAAGTAGGTGTGCAATCCTCACGTATGCTTGACTTACACCAGAGACTCGGCCCCAGTCAAACCAAGAAACAATAATGGCTGATGCTCACTGAGCACTGAACTCATACCAATCCTGTGCTGAGCGCTTCACATGGGCCATCTCATCTAATCCTTACAGTAATTCCAGGAGGTAAGGCGTATTATTAACCTCATGTAACACGCAAGGGAATGGAGGCACAGAGAAATCAGGTGACTCATCCAAGGTGACAGTAAGTCGCAGAGGCGAGATTCAGATGCGGGAAGTCTGGCTCCAGAGCCCCTGCTTTTCTCAACCTAGAATATACAGAGAGCTCACAAACCCGTTAGAAAAAGACAAGCAGGGGATCCCTGGGTGGCGCAGCGGTTTGGCGCCTGCCTTTGGCCCAGGGCACGCTCCTGGAGACCCGGGATCGAATCCCACGTCGGGCTCCCTGCATGAAGCCTGCTTCTCCCTCTGCCTATGTCTCTGCCTCTCTCTCTCTCTGTGTGTGACTATCATAAATAAATTTTAAAAAAATTAAAAAAAGAAAAAGACAAGCAAACCAGCAGAAAAATAGGGAAAGGATATGAACAGATACTTCACCAAAGAGGAAAATACAAACGGCCAATAAACATATGAAATGATGCTCCATCTTACTGTGATGAGGAAAACGCATAATAAGCAATTAAGATATTTTGTCCATCGGATTGGAAAAAGGCCTTTGACTGATAAAATCTGGTGATGTGCAGATCTAAGAGAAAAGGTCCTCAACAGTATTCAGTGAATATATAAAGGCACATTCATTTTGAAACAACTTGGCACAATCTATTAAAATATAAAATACGTACACCCTTTGGCCTGGTAGTTTCACCAAACTTGTGCACAAAGGATACGGACAAGAATGTTCACTGACGCCCTGTTCGTAATCATGCAAAATGAAAGCAAATCACACGTCTGCCAGTAAGGAAATGGCAGCACCGGCCACGGCCAAAGCCATACCACTGGAATGCCAGCTCCACGAAACACAAGTTCACGTCTGAAGTATAGATATATTGATGTGGATACACAGATGATGTAGTGGGTTGAATGGTGCCCCCTCAAATATATAGCTGAGTCCTAGTCCCCAGGTGCCAGATATGTGACCTTACTTGGGAAAACAGTCTTTGCAGATGTAATTCAGTTAAGGATCCTGAGATGAGATCATGCAGGATTTTCCAGGTGGGTTCTAAATCCAGCAAAAAGAACTCCTTTGAGAGACAGAAGAGAAGACGACAGCACACAAAGGAGGAGGCTCTATAACAATGGAGGCAGAGATCAAAGGGCGGCAGCTGCGAGCCACCAGAGCTGGGCCCAGGAAGGAAGCTTTCTGCACTCCAACCTTCCAAGGGAGTGTGGTCCAGCAGACACCCCAAAGTTTGGACCTCTGGCCTCCAGAACTGTGAGAGAATATGCTTCTGTGGGTTTAAGCCTGCCAGTGTATATACTTTGTTACAGCAGCCCTAGGAAATGAATACAGATAGATACATTCATTCAGGCCTTCAATACATATTAAATTTTAAAAAAGGTTGTGCAGTAATACATACATAACTACATTAAAAAGCCTCACGTTATGTAAAACAACAACAACAAAAACACCAAAAGATCTATGTGTATAGATGTACGTAACAGCATAGACGATCACCTGGGACCAGTATGTCCCAGACTTTGGCAGTTCCCTCCTGGGATGGGAGTGAGGTTAGTTGGATGGGGAGGGGTCACATAAAATCTTTCAGCTATACTTTCTAACATTTGCACTTAAAAAAAAAGGTTTATTTTTTTTTCAAAAAAATATAAAGAGAAATTGACGACAAAGTTTAGCATTTGAGACAATACGTATAGATACCATTTTAAGAAGAGCCATTATTTTAAAAATCTAGGAAGAGAAATAAATCTCTTATTCACTTCAAAGTACCTTTTTCTGAGCTAGGGAAAGGCAGTCTTCTGAGGCCGCTGCTGGTGAAAGTGCTGTATCAGCTATTACACATTGCTTGGTATTCTTCACAAAGGAAACAAATGTTAAATATTCAGATTTTCTTTTAAGTAATGCAATTTATGACACCCATATTTTATCTGATCAATACAGATAAAACAATGTTTTCCTTGAGTGTGTATTCTGAGCGGGTGGTGCATATGAATCACTACTGTTTGCTTTTACTAGTTTATCTGATTGACTACTCACGCTTTACTGAGGAAGTTCCTTTCAATGCATCCTCCAGACTGAAATCAGAGTCCCCAGATCCTAAAAATTTAAAAGAAGATTTTAAATTAACTCCTTTTGCAGAAAACAGAATAGTATTGAAATAATTTCTTGTAATGATTTTTTTCTCTTTAGATAGTGTCATGAAGGTTAACACCACAAAAGGAAATTGGTAGAAGCCATCCAAAGATATGTTGAGTTGACATCCTTCTACAAACAACTTACCTCCACCAAAAACAAAACAAAACAACCGAACGGCCTTCAGTCCACTAGAAGGCTGAAGGCTCAAGTGTACAGAACACAGAATATAATCTTACAAAAGCCTTCTCCATAGTATGTAGGACTTCCACAACAAGGACTCTTGGGAGTCCAAGGCTCCACTGATAATGCACCAGGTTCATTCATCCCACTCCACATCTCAATGCTGCACTGCACTTGGGTCAATCCAGAGTACCTGCCCCCTGACCCCAGTATCCATATCTAGACTAGTAATTCTAATTACACATAATTTGAAAGGCTCCAGGGAAAAGCTTTTCACAAGAGAATTTATTCTCAAAAGTGTACCCATATGCCCAACTCTGCTTGCTTCTGAACTAGACAGCTATCAGTAACCCCAGATCAGCACATACTTTCCCACAGGGGTATTTATACATTATCAATTCTTAAACCACAACGCATGTATACTGAAACTGAACAAATAGGTAAATGAGTGATGAACTGGAGAAGCCAGCCTTCTCACTGTTGGAGAGGGATATTATAGATAAGAGGAGGCTAGAATGATCTATGTAATAATGGATTAAAGTTGGGAGACCTCAGTATAAATCATGTGTAGTTTAATATACACACAGATGGTTACCTATAGAAATACTTATAGATGTGTGCGTATATACACACACATACAATTATATATATATATGGGCTAGTATGCGGACATATGCCTTTGCTCTCTCACCTGAGAGGGCCTAGAAGCAATAACACCCCAGCAGCGATGAACACACCTTGCACCCAGATCTTGGTTTCTAAATAGCACTCTCCAATTAAAGAAAAACAGAACTTCTTGGAGAAATGGCAGATTCTAGGACTGAACAATAAATATAGGAGTTTGAAGCATCTTCTAGTGCCAAGAAGTATGTTTTGAAATATTAATATTGATAGGTATATTTCAAAGAGGCACAGGGCCAACCGAAAGAGCTCCCAATGGCTAAATTTAATCAACAAAGTAGTATTGGATTATAATCCGAAGTATAAAATATCCATGTGTCCACGCTGATATAAAAACATATTTAAACAAATACATAAAAGGAACAAAACAGAAGAATTCAAGTTAACTAGCTCAAGGAGATGAAACATAACTCTTTACTCCTTAAGTGTTGACTTCCTTCCAAAAATTACGGTATGAGCAGGTAGGTGGGGGGAGAAAGTAACTTTACAGTAGAGAAGTCTAAGATACACTACATCAGCTCAAGGTTAACATCAACAGTAATGGGTCACATTGATATTCAAGACCCTTGAGATGATGGGATGAGACAGGCACTATACATGTGTGGTCTTCTTCTCAAAAAAATGTAACCCCAGTATAATCATGAGAAAAACATCAAATTCCAGTCCTACAAAATATATGACCAGTACTCCTAAAAACCAAGGTCATCAAAAACAGGAAGTCTGAGAAACTGACACAGCCTGAAGAGCCTAAAGAAAAATAAAGACAAAAGGTCACTGGTACCTTGGATTGGATCCTGGAACCAAAAAAAAAAAAAAAAAAAAGCAGGGGGCTTTGGATAAAAACAAAGGAAATCCAAATAGAGTATGGACTTCAGTTAATAATAGTATATCAATACCGGTTCATCAATTGTGACAAATGTGCTACACTAATGTAAAATGTTAAAAATAGGGGAAATAAAATGTGGAGCATAAGGGAACTCTCTGTACTAGCTTGGCATTGTAAACCTAAAACTGTTCTAAAAACAAATTTTATTGTAAAAATCCATTTCCCATAGTAAAAAAAGAAAAAGAGAGAGAGATACAGGCTATAGAAGAGATAGAAAAAATATAAAACCTCTAGCTCATCCAAGAAAAAATAAAAGGTCAACACCAGCAATGAAAAAAATCAATCCAATGAAAGTCACCAAACAGAAAAAAAAAGAAACACGTTAAACAGAAAACATGAACTTTAATACAAGAATATGTACAATTATATCAGTAAAAAAATGATTATAAAGATGGTCAATCTCCTACCAAAAGATAAATGGAATAAAAAGATAACTATATGCTGTTGGCAAGATATACACCTAAAACAAAATAACCACCACCCACAAAAGATAGAATATAACAGAGAAATATGTAACCAGGTAAAGGTTAACAGGAAAGAGATGTGGCAGTATTAGTATGACAAAGTAGAACTCAAGCTCCCAACCCCCAAATAGGAAAAGTGCAATATTTTATAAAGCATATAATCCACCAAGAAAATAAGTCATACCACTTAATAACCTAGCTTCTAAAATTCTGAAGTAGACTTTTGCTTTTTGCTATGATGGAGTAATCGGTATCAGATCAGCCCTCCCATCATAAACACTATCAAATAGACAAAACATGAGCCAGCAGCTTTCAGCACTGAACAACAATCCCAGGGATCAAGGAAATTGCGACAGCTAGATCCAACAGGTGATCCTGGATCGGATCCTAAACCTATAAAACGGCATTACTGGGAAACTCCGTGAAATTTGAGAGAGGTCTATTGACCAGATGGTAATACTGGATCACTGTCAAACTCCCAATCTTGATGAATTTACTGTGCTCAGGGAAGAAAGTGTCCTTGTTTTTAGGAAATGCACACTCAAGTATTAAGAAATAATGAGCATCATGCTTGCGACTGAGTCTGAAATAATTCTGATAAAATATTCAGACACACCTATAGACACCAGTACAAATGCGATACAACTGGGAAATCTAGGTGAACAGTAAATGGGAATTCCTTGTATTGGACATTATTGTGACAACTGGTGAAACTTGAATTGGGTCTAAGGATAAAACGGTAGTAATTTATCAACATCAATTTCCTGATTCAGATGGTTATGCTGAGGATATATAAAAGGATGTCCTCATTTGAAGGAAACCCGCCCTAAAGTTATTTGTCAATGTCGGGGGTGTGTGATAGAACATCAGGTAAGCAACTTACTCTCAGGCGATTTGGTGGTGCTGGTGGAGGGAGTTCCTTATACTATACTTGCAAGTCTCATGTAGGTTTGTAATTATTTCAACATTTAAAAAATTTAAATTATTTAAATGTGCATATCTCTCAATTCAGCAATTGCACTTTTAGGTACCTGTTACAGAAAAATACTTGTACACGTGCCCATAGAGGTATGTAAAAGGTTGTTCACAACGCTACTGCTTAAAATAGCAAAAATAATGGAAATGGACCAAGCGTTCCTCAACGAAGAATTAAATAAAACATAGTTCTTCAATACAATGAAAGGTTATATAGCTGTTTAAAAGAACAGGATACTGGGACACCTGGGTGGCTCGGCGGTTGAGCGTCTGCCTTCGGCTCAGGGCGTGATCCCGGGATCCGGGATTGAGTCCCACATTGGGCTCCTTGCATGGAGCCTGCTTCTCCCTCTGCCTGTGTTCTCTGTCTCTCTCTCATTGTCTCTCATGAATAAATAAATAAAATATTTAAAAAAAGAACAGGATACTCTCTGTGAACTAGGAATAGAAGAGAACTTCCTCAATTTGAAAAGAATACCTGCAAAAAATCTACAGCTAACACCACACTTGATGACAAGAAACTAAAGCTTTCCTTCCAAGATCAGAAACAAGGCAATAACGTCCCTGTTCACCGCTGCTTTTCAACATCATAGTGGAAGTCGTAGCTACTGCAACAAGACAAGGAAGAAAAAAAGATATACTGATTGAGAAGGAAGAAATAAAAACCGTCTTTGTTGAAGAGAACATGATCATCTATGTAGATAATCCAAAAGGATTCACCAAAAAAAACTCCTTATACTCCTGAAACTAAGAAGTGACTACGCTGAGGTTGGTGGATACAAGGTTAGTCACTTTCCTATATGTCAACAACGAACAAGTGGAAATTTTAAATTAAAACACACCACCATTTATATCAGCAGCCCCCCAAAAGAAATACCTGGTATAAATCTAACAAAATATGCATAAGATCTATATGAATCAAGTTACAAAATGGTCATGAAGGAAATCAAAGGAGGATTAAATGGAAAGATAATCCATGTTCATGGAAAGACGCAATACTGCCAACATGTCAGTTTCCCAACTTGACTTATAGATTCAATGCAATCACAATCAAAATGTCAGCAAGTTATTTTGTAGATACTGAGAAACTAACTGAAAAGTTTATACAGAGAGGACAAAGACCCCAAATAGCCAATGTAATATTGAAGGAAAAGAACAAGGTGGGAGGACTGACACTACCCAACCTCAAGACTTACTATAAAGTTACAGTAACCGGGATCCCTGGGTGGCGCAGAGGTTTGGCACCTGCCTTTGGTCCAGGGCGCAATCCTGGAGACCCGGGATCGAATCCCGCATCGGGCTCCCGGTGCGTGGAGCCTGCTTCTCCCTCTGCCTGTGTCTCTGCCTCTGTGTGTGTGTGTGTGACTATCATAAATAAATAAAAATTTAAAAAAACATTAAAAAAAGTTACAGTAACCAAGACAGTGTGGTATTAGCAAAAGAGACAAACAAATCAATGGAACAGAACAGAGAGCCCAAAAGTAGATCCATATAAATATAGTCAACTGTCCTTTTACAAGGGAGAAAAAGCAACACAACAGAGAAATAGTCTCTTCAACGAATGGAGCCAGAACAACTGGACAACCACTTGCAAAAATAGCAACAACAACAACGAAGAAGAAGAAGAAAAAGAAGAAGAATCTAGACATAGATTTTACATCCTTCACAAACATTAACTCAAAATGGATCACAGTCTTAAATATAAAATACAAAACGATAAAAACTCCTAAAAGCAACAGAGGAGAAATCCTACATGACTTGAGTTTGGCAATAGC